AAAAAAAAAAAAAAAAAAAAAGGAGGAATAACAGGATGAGCTGCACCACCCACAAATGCGAAAAAAGGCCTCGCTGCCCTGCTCTCCAAACGTGCAAGATCAGTCTGAATCCTCTGAATCTTCCGATAGAACATGGAAAGATGTATTGCCATCCTTCTTGTCGTTTCTGCATGTGGAGAGTAGTGCAGGGAGGACGAGGCAAACCGCGGCTGCTGCGGCGAGGCCATAACTGGCCGGTGAGTAGTGCTGGCGAGGCCCTGCGTGGTAGGTAGCGCGGCCACGAGGGGCGACGCCGTTTATTATACAACATACGTGTCAAGTACCGGGTAGTGGTAATGGGCTTCGCCGCACCACTGTCGAAATGCGCAAAAGACAAAACTGTGGCTATTGCATTTGGCCATGTTCTAGCGGGAAGTTCATTCTCATTTTGCACATTTCGAGAGTGGTGTGGCGTTGCCGAATGTCATGCGAGCGGCATCTATGGAACGTACGCGTAACGCACTTGGGCCTCGCTTCCATTTCCCGATTTATGCGTGTCATCCTTGCGCAGGGGACATTCTAATCTTCTCTGAATCGTTCCAATTTTAACGGATGTCCCGAAGGACCTTGGGCCTCGCTTCCACTACACACGACATGCGCAAACGACAAAAGTTATGGCGACGGACGGGAAAAAAAAAAAAAAAAAAAAAAAAAAGGTTATGGCGGTGGATCTTTCCATGTTCTTGGAGAAGATTCGGTCTCGTATTCCAGATTTGGTGATGATGAGTAGCGTAGTGGAGCAAGGCCCTTTGGGCATCGTCACATCACTCTCGAAATGTGCAAAATGGGAATGAACTTCCCGCTAGAACATGGCCAGATGTGCGCGCCACAATTTTTGTCTTTTTCACATTTCGAGAGTGGTGTGGCGAGGCCCTTTGAATGGCATTTACGTAACGAGGGTAGAGAAGCATGAACTCGCCTCGACGGGGCCACTCGCCATCCGCCGCCATCCGCCAACAGTTTGTGAATGCATCTGGACGGAAAAGGCCTCCGATGTATTCGGAATTGTGGCAGAGAACGAGTGGTCCACGTCTAAACGCCACGACAACGGGCCTCGCGTGCGCAAATAATCTTCTCTGTATCGTTCCAAATTTATTTATTTTTTCTTTCTAATTCTTTTTTTTTGTTTTGTTTTTTTTTGTTTTTTTTTTGTTTTTTTTTTTGGAGAATTGGAATCCTTTATTATCAATGGAAATCGAGGCCGGGAATTCCTCACAAACAACCCGGAAAACTGGGGCCATTACCCAGATTAGGCTTGGGCTGGAAACCGGGAAACTTTTTTTTTTTTTTTTTTTTTTTAATTCTAACTTTATATTCCAAAACAAAAACCAAAGGCCGGGGGGACCTCACAATTCAACCCGGAGTTACCGGCAGCATCAGCCGGTTTAGCTTACAGCCAATTGGCTGGATCTTAAAAGCTAATCCTAGAAGAAACATGAGATCTACTTTAAAACCAACAATTCTAACCTGAGCTATGTTACTCACTAAGTAAAATCACTAGTGACAATACTAAACTTACACCCAAGCAGGAGAGCAACCCTAACATTAATAAAGTACTCAGAAATAACAATTAGCACTAAGGTAACTTACCAGCATTACACTGGCAGGGCACCCGCTAAGCCTTTCTAAATAAGAGATTTGGGCTAACAGCGGCCAAAAACACACAGACTACTTCGAAGGGAGCCTATTGCAGCGGCTCCTATGCTTTCATCGTTCTCCACGTAACCAATCGGCATAGATCAGTTTCCCTTGGGAGGATATGGAGGCTGCTAGTTATTGGCCCAGGTTTTGGAGAACCAGTGCCGGTTCTTCAAGGACTGCGGGCGGGGAGCTAGCCAATCGATCCGAATGCATTGTCTGATCAGGGCCTGGATGGTTGAAATCTGACTTTGGAAGGGGAGATCTTCCTGTTGGAAAGTGGCCTTATTGCGGGCCTTCCACAGAACTTCCATAATTGCTCCCCTGCAGGCATTAGCCATATAAGGCCAACCAGAGGATAGATCACAGTGTTCTTCTGTCAAACCATAGAGTGACCACTCCTGGGTCCACTGGAAGTTTTCTCTCGCAATAGCCTTCCATCTGGTTTTCCACCACTCCCATATTTGTGCTGAAAAGGGGCAGTACAACCAAATGTGGGAAGCAGTTTCCCAGCCCCACCTGCATAGAGCACACTGCTTAGAAATATCCATCCCTTTAGCGGAGAGCCATGTTGCTGAAGGTGTCACCAATAGAAGTTGTAACCAAATCAAGCTGGCTTGCTTCTGGGAAACCATGGTTCTCAGAGCTTTCCAGTGGCCGAATAGGTCTAAGTTGCCCAGCACAAAGCCAGGTTCCTTAGATAGCCTCCCCGAGGCTGTAACTGCTGGCTGTTTTTTAACAGCGGACCTTTGAATCTGGACTCCAATTTTGGTAGAATATGACGCCAAAGGTGTTTGAGATTGTGGTCCAGTAATTCCCAGCCAGCCATAAAGCGGTGGTTCCATCTGAAGACTCTCTGCGTTATCAGTCCACAGTGTGGTCTCTATTTTTCCTTTGACTGTGTTCTGCCAGACTCTGCATTCCACCAGGCCTACAGAGGTATCTATGACTCTATCCTCTATTCGGGTGAGGCTTGGATTAGATGAAACCCCCATCTTTCGTGACCAAGCTTCCACTCTAATACCCTCAGGGAGTTCCGGCCCAATGATCCTAAAGACCTCACTTCTGTCATCTGGATCTCTTAGTGCCCAGGCTTCCTGCCCATGTTCCGCCGAATCAGGTAGCATCGTCTTCCAATAAAGGGGGATGGCACTAAGAAGCTTATCATAATTGGCTTCCATTAATCTTAACAGATGCAGTTTAATTTTGATCTGATCTAATGATAGCCAATCCTCTCTTGAGGCGTCCCAGATATCTCTTACCTGAATCACTCCCCTTTCTACCCAAGCTTTCCCAAAAGAGCCAGGGCTGCCATCTGCTTTGAACCAGTGGCCATCCGGGTGAATAACATACGGGTTTTCGAATAAGATTTGATTAAATACTTCCCTCCTAGTCTCGGGGGGTCTAAGAATATGGGGGAAGAGCTTATGCCAAGCATGCAATATATATCGCCAGACTCTAGACTTAGGCTTCTTTTTGGCAAATGAAGGCATAAGGAGACAGGGCCATACATCTGCAGGTCGGGAAAGTTCCCATTCTCTGGATAACAAATATTCCGCTAATCTGACCCACAGCTTAGATCTGTTCCCAAATAGGGCTGAAACAACCCATTTACATAACAACGCCAAGTTCTGATGTACCGGGTCCAAGATGCCCAGACCTCCTTGACAGCGTGCGGAGGAGACAGTTTCCCATGCAACTTTCCAAATGAAGCTCTGGAAACTTTCCAATCTTAAGCAATTCTCCAAAAGTCACCTTGAAGCTCAAGATTCAAAATTGATATCGAAATGTTATACGGATGGAGTCTTTCCGGAAAACCTCGCTCCAAATACCGTGGAAACGGGGGAGGATTTCGTAAGAGTCACGATTAATCCTGAAGTATACCAAATCCAAGCCGAGTGGTTGAGGGAACATGCGGTGACTATTCTTTTTGGGGAAGACACGACTTTCCTGCCAATTGACGTTAAAAAACGCCTGGTGCGCATCTATGAAAATGGATGGGCAACTGCGGGGGACATTGCCGTGCCACCGAAACGGGGATTGCTTAATTTAGTCACATATATAGCTCCCTCAAAGGAAGTAGCTGCTTGGATGTTGAGGGTTGCAGAGACGAATATTGACCTTGACTCGAAACACTACAAGATTACTTTTCGGCCATGGATGTCTGAGAGTGAGCTGTGGGAGTGGAGGGAGGTAGCCAGGTTCAATTTTTTTTGGATCAGGTGCATGCAAGTCCCAGTTGGTGTTCTCCCTCACCTTTCCAAAGCCGTGCAAGATGCATTTGGGGCGATAATAAAAGAATCGCCAGCCTTCGCAGATAAGTTACGTCCGGACTTAGTCAACGTCCGCTTTGATCTGGAGTCAGCGGCCCGTTTGAGGTACAAACAGTGCCTGATCATAGATATGGGGGAATACGGGTATGTGGAGATCGATGTGGTCTGTGCCAGTACCCCGTGGTGTCCCGCATGCAGAAAACGTTTTCATTATGAAGGGGATTTGGACTGCACGGCAAAGAAAGGAAAATCATATGCTAATGCAGTCAAATCTTTTACCCTGGACAAGGAGAAAGGGGGGGGAAACGAGGGTAAAGGAGGGGAGAAAAGTGGTGATGAAGGAGGGAAAAGTGGTGGGGAAGGAGGGGATGAGGGAAGAAGCAACAAGAGCGGAAAGGACAAGACGGAGGGAGGTCGGGGGGATAAGGATGGTGGCAAGGGTAAGAAGGGAGGTGGTAGGGGAGAGGGATTGGGGGAAGATCGGGACGGCGGTAAGACGCAGGAACCCTCTCCTCCCCGTCGAGGGGATAAAGACACGGGAGAAGGGGACGGGGTAAGGCAGGAGAATAACGGGACAAGGGAGAAGAGTGTAGGGGACAGGGAGATTCGTGAGAAAGACGGTTTACCTGGGACAGACTCCCAGGGGGCCGGAAACGAACCGGTAGATATGGATCAGGATCGATCCGTGGTGAGGGAAAAGAGAAAAAGAGATGACCTCAATGAGAAAGAAAAAGGTAGTAACTCGGATAGTGAGGCAATTAGAGCAGGGAAAGCCCTGATCCTCTTCAAAAGCAGGGAGGAAGGTCAGGTGTCCCCTTTCCCCCCCCCCCTCTTCCCCCCCCCCTTCCTCCCCATCTCCTTCTGATGCGGGGTTGAAATCCTCGGATGAGGAAGAAGAGGAGGAGGAGGAAGAGGATGAGGAGGAGGAGGAGGAGGGAGCTTTGGGGACTTCTCTGATGTTTGATGAAAAAAAACGAAGAGTCCAAAAAGAGATAGTATGGAAGGGCTGGAATACGGGGAGTGATTATGATTCACCCGCTCGAACCCCAAGTCCAGATTCATCTTCCCTGAGCATAAAGCAAGTTTTGAGCTCAGGGGATGAACAATTCGTTGATTGCCAAGGAGATCTCTCCGAATCGGAGAAAGCGGTGGAGGAGCAAAATGAGAACACACCGTCGCGTGATCTAGGGAAGACTCCCCCGCTGTCCCTGACAGCAGGATTGAAACCGAAGAGCAAAGGTTCTAAGGGTACTGGCCAAGGGTCAGGAAAACCCTTTCCTATGGGACTGTCAGACAGGGAGGAACATAAGGACCAGGGAGTGGGGTCGAAGCAGCCCAGGGTTTCCCTTTCGGCATCACAGCCCATGAAAACTCTTACGAAGGGTTCAGGGCGAAAGGGACACTTGGAAGAATGGGCTGTCCCCCTCATTTGTACAAGATTGCCGCATGGTATAATGATTTTGACAAAAATCCGCCCTGATGAATCCTTAGCTCTCCCCTCCGTTCTGTCAGAAGGTCCACCTTCGGAAACCCAACTGACAGAATGGGTGAGTGAACAGGTTCTAGAAGGAAATGGTAAGTGTTCGGTCCTGCCAAAGCCGAAGAGAGGACGATTTTTAGATACCGCTGAGAACGGGCAAACGACTGTGTTACACATATCCTTTATGGCCCTCCAGGCAGATGCACTGGCAAGGTCGAAACTGAAAGAACTAAACATCTACTGGTTTCCTCTGGCTCACTTCTTGGATGTGGGTACAGACACGCTGCGAGACATAGTAATCACGGAAAACGTGTCGGCTCTGGGGGTGGCCCAGTGGATGGCGCAAACGAACGTGTGTGACATGATTAACTCACCGGCCTTCGCAGACTCCCTGAGCAAAAAGCAGCGGTCCCCCTCTGGGTTAAAACCCCAGGGGGCAACAGCTGTTGGTCCGAAGTTTGGTAAAGCCAGGAAGTCTTCTTCCTGCATCCAATCAAGCGGCAAGGGTCCGGTTAATGACCTTGCCCAAAAAGATTAGGATTGCAACATGGAATGTTAGAGGACTTGGTGATACAGGGATCAGGTGCAAACGAGCGAGACTACGCAACTGGGTTCATACCCAAAACATACACATTTTATGTGTCCAAGAGACTAAACTTAGTGATGATAAAATCCGGGACCTCCAACAGTGGTGGGATGACCCCCAGTTTTGGTCCCCTGCATTGGGAACGAGGGGGGGGGTTGCAATTTTAATTAATAAGGATCTGGACATCACAGTTCTTGATTATTTTTCGGATTCAGACCGCAGATGGGCTTGGATCAAAATCGTGGTGGAAAATGAGGAATGGGGGATTATGACAGTTTATGCGCCCGTTGTTTATAACGATAGAATTAACTTTTTCGCCGAACTCCCCACTTACCTCCCGGACACGGAAAATTTTATCCTCACAGGTGACTGGAACACAATTTTCAACCCGGGCCTTGATTCGCTTAAAGTCACACCAATTAGGTATGATACCCAAATTCTCTCAGAGCTTAAGGACTCTCAAGCCTTGGAGGATGTGTATCGGACACTGAACCCAGACATGTGTGGATTTACGTGGTACGGCTGGAGACCGTCCAAAAACAGGCCTGCCCCCAGGAAACGACTGGACTTCATCTTAGCGAGAGGGGCACCACGGGACAGATGTATGTTCTGTGAGTACCAGGTGGCCTCGTTATCTGACCATTACCCAGTGGTGATGGACATATTATCCAAAGACTTAATTGACAAACATTGCCCTCCCTTTCGTTTAAATGTGAATCTTCTGAAGGATGAGGGGATAACAAACTGGGTATCCCACCACATGGTATCGTGGATGCAGGCACAAGACTTATTTAATGACTCTACCAGTTGGGCGGATACAGGCATAGCAATACTAAGAGAAGCCTTAGTCGAATTCTCTAGAATTAAAGCAGCGAATAGATCCTGGAAGGAAATGTCTCTCCAAGAAAGGATCGAAAAAGCGGAATCCCTTATGGGGGGAGACCCTTTCTCGGACTATTACTGGACGGAAGAAAGGAAGACGGCACTGCTGAATCTAGAAAGTTTGCAAATTCAAAAACAGAATGAATGGTTAGAATGGTTGCGCCTTAGAGGAATTGTGGGCTACGATAGAATGACTAAAATATCTTTTGGATCTCTTATTCTTCGTCAGACTAAACCAATGATGAGAGAGCTTACTCACCCCTTCGCTTTGGCTGCTCCAATAGGGGAGGATACCGTTAGAATGTGTTCCTATGCATTAGAATACTTTAGGGACATTGTTTCTACTAGGAGACCCCTAGACCCCCCTAATTGTGACCTTGCTGAATTTTCTAATTTTTGGGATTCACCACTTCGGACCATTTCTCCCTCAGCCAAGGCTGAGTTGGATCTTCCCATAACTGAACAGGAGCTCCTCGTAGCAGCCAAACAGATGGTCAAGGGCAAGTGCCCCGGGTTGGATGGCCTCCCGGTAGAATTTTTTCTAGCGTGATGGCCCTCCTTCGCCCCTTTCTTGTGCAAAATTTATAATCAAGCGCGGAACTCTGGGGAATTCCCCTGCCAGAGCAACCTACAGCTTAGACCTTTTCCCCCATGTAGCTGCAATCACCCATTTGCACAATAAGGCCAGATTTTGTTGATAGGGATCCAAAATCCCCAAACCCTTTTTCTCTCTTGATGAGGCTATTGTGTTCCATGATACTTTGGGGAGGAAAGCCTGATCACCAGTGGCCAGTGGCTTCCAGACGTACCGTGCTGCCGATCGCCGTATCCTCCTGTACGCCCGTTCCCCCAGGCGATGTACCGAGAGTGGGAACCATAAAATAGAGAAGGCTGCGGCAGATAACACCAGGGCTCTGCCATACAATGACAATTTATGGCTGCGTATCCATCCTGTGATTCTCGCCGATATTTTTTCCGCCAAGATATCATCCCGCATAGCCGAACAGTCTGCCAATGATACTTGTACGCCCAGAAATCGATCAGAAGAGTTAGTTGGCACTTGCCGCATACCCCAATCAACACACAGATTTTGGGAGGGGGGTAAAAAGTAAATAGATTTGTCCCAATTAATCGATGCCTCCGACAAAGTACAGTATGTATCTATAACCTGTTTAAGTGTACGTAAGGACTCCGTAGAATTCTCACATGCGACAGTTAGGTCGTCTGCAATCGCGCCTCCCTTCCATTGGAGAGAGGGTGAAAGCTTCAGTCCTCTAATATCTTCATTCCATCTAATATTGTTCTGCAGTACCTCTAATTGCAAGACAAACAGCAGGGGGGGCAATGGGCACCCCTGGCGCAGCGAACGAGAAAGCCTAAAGGAATCTGAAAGCCTACCGTTCACCAGGACTACCGAAGAAGCTTGCTGATAACTTGCATCCACCCACTTACAGAACGCGTTCCCAATACTTGAACCCATGGCAAGCAAGGTAGTGTGGACAAAACTCCACCCTACTTTGTCATAAGCCTTCTCCATATCAAGGAGAAGGATTACTACCTCTCTGTTTTCCTTGCCAATTATTTCCAGGGCTTGAATTGTGGCTGCGATGTTATCAAAAATAGATCTTCCCTTAATGAAGGCACCCTGCTCCCATCCAATCAAATCAGGGAGAAGTTTGGTCAACCTTAAGGCCAGTGTTTTAGCAAACAGTTTGTATGTAACATTGAGAACCGAGATATCTTGACCTTGGAATTTATCTAAGGGGGAAGATGTTTGGAAATGCTTGTTCATCCCCTCCTTCTCAAACAGACGACCAAAGTCACGATTTTGGAGGGGCATTCTATATGCTTGATATAAGTTGTTCCCCAAGACTCGGTCCCATCCAGTAACTAGGCTGGAGGCTATGAACCAGATCCTGTTTGAAAACCCGCCGATTACCTCACCCGACGGCTCTCCGATGTTAGCAAAATGGGAGCCCAGGCAGCTTTGGTAAGGGGTGGGTAGAAAAAGGGATTATCCAGGTCAAAGATATCTGGGATTCAAATAAACACAGTTGGGTGCAAGTCAGGGATCTTCGCCAACGGTTACCAACTTACCGCGCCTGCGCAATGTAGGGCCTAATTAAGAGGCAATTATCACTGCTATTCCGGACTTCTGGGAATGAATTCTGAAGGGACAGGCGGAAGCCAACTTGGGTACATGGGCGCAGGATCCTGCAGACCCAAGGGGTTTCTTGAAAATCTTGGGGCCATATTTGGAGCAGGGTGTCCAGGTAGAAGTATGGTCATTGAGACCAGGAAAAAACAAGGAGACACCGCTGATACACAGAGGAGAAAAAGTAGTCTCTGACACGGGGGCCTTTTTGGAAAGCAGAGTATGGATTGCGGACCCCTCTTCTAAGGCCAAATGCTCGTTATTGTTTGAAAATGCAGCGGAGCTTTCAGTTGAACCACTTCAGTTTGGGTGGCTAGGTCTAAGGGCACCTGACTCCCTGTTATCGGCAGCTTGTTATGGTACGAAATGGGGAGTAGCCCTACAGAGAACAAGGATTAAACGACAGGCTGCGGTAGTAGCATCGGAACGCCTCGCATCAGTTGAGGGTTTTCAAGTGGGCTCCCTTGACCTTCAAGGTCTGTGGAAAGCTCTCAAGTTGATTCCTTCCCAGAAACAGGCCAGCATTATGTGGCTGCAGTCTCTGTCTGTGACAGCCTCAGCTTGTTGGCTTTCTTCAAAAGGTATGAAAGTATCAGAGGTATGTGCTAGATGTCAATGGGGTTGGGAGACCTCCAACCACTTGTGGTTGTATTGCCCTTTATCTCTGCAACTGTGGGATTGGTGGAAGCCACACTGGCAAAAGATCACCAATGAGGAGTTCAATTGGTCTCAAGAATGGATATTATTCGCTCATTGTTCCTCTGAGACTGACTTGACTACGGGATGGGCCTATGTAGCATTGGTCTGCAGGGGAATATTAATGGAAGTCATTTGGAAAGCACGAAATAAAGCGTGTTTTCAGCAAGAAGCATCGGCATGTGCAGAGCTGATAGCCTTGGCCAAAAGCTCGGTTAGGCTCTCTATTAGAGCCGACTGGCACCATTCTAAGATTCACCCTAGAAAAGGGCGGTTATGGTTTGGTCGAACTTGGGCACGAAATGTCGCTTTAGCCTCCATATAGGCGGAGTCTAAACTACAGTTTCGTGGATGGCTTCGCCCTGGGTAGGTGGTACATGGAAATTTAAGGCCTGGATAGGCCGGAAATGCGGTTCTGTTGACAATATACATTTAGACCTGTGTCGGCACTTATGTTCATCATTTATTCTTGGGTTACGGTGTGTAGAATGCTTAGCGATTTAGAACCCTCCCCCCCCTTTTTGGATATTGAAGATGTAGATGGATCTAGTTAGATAGAGTAATGGGAAGTGTTGGATTATTGGAAAGGTAATGGATAGGGGTGAAAAAAAAAAAAAAAAAAAAAAAAAAAAATCAGTACTCTACCACTATCTATCCTATGCCAAAGCCAAGAAAAGTGTTTCCTTCGGCTACAGTGAATCTCGCTATTTAAGTGTCTAGGCTGCCTATTATCGACGGCCTGTCCCACATTATGAACAATAAGCTCCTCCAAGCCTAAGTCGGCTTCTCAGTTAACCAAGGGGAGAACACCGGTTTCCCCAAAGGGTCTGGCTTCACCAAAATACTCTTGGTCCCCCATGATTTCCAAAACCAAACAGTCCCTTTTTGGGCTTTGCCAGCTTTAGCCTTCCGAAACTAATCAGACCAAATACATTCCCGAATAGATGCTCTCATAGCTACTTTTAGCTGGACATCCTCACAACGTTCCTGTTGAAAGACATGCAGATTTCTTTCGTTCCAAATAGTAGTCATGATAATAGCCCGAAAGGTCTGCGCCACATAGCACGCCCCGGAATCTCTTCTGACAGGATACCTGACAGAATAAACTCCTCCGTCCACTCCAGATGGGACCACGGTAGCTTCAGCCAATGTCTGCGCCACCAGGACCATATGCGTTTCGAGAAGGGGCAAT